TGGAAACGCCGTTTACCTTCCCACCAGAGCGGTACCTATTTATCTACTTGCACTTTGACGTGCTTTCGAACTGCTAGGTTGGTAGGAGCAGGGACCGAGCAACGGGAGCTCACCCTGTCGCGGGGATTTGAACCACTGACCTTCTGATCGGCAAGTCCTAGGCTCTGTGGTTTAACCCATAGCGCCACCCGCGTCCCAACATGTAAGTAATATACGAAAAAATAAAAGAAGAGTGAGATATAACTAATCCACAATGTGTTTTCATTTTTAGGCATGCCCTACGTAGCAAGCATACACCCTTACTGGCATTTTTAGGTAGTCTAGGGCATACCGTACTTATTGGATCAAGTGGCTGACTGGATTTATTTATTATTTATTAAACTTATATCCCACCTTCCCTCCAAGGTGTTGTACATGGTTCTCTCTCCCCCCCCCCTCCGCACACTCCATTTTATCCTCAAAACAGCCCTGTGAGGAAGGCTAGGCTGAAAGACTGTGACTGTCCCAAGGTCACCCAGTGAGCTTCGCGCTCAAGTGGTGATTTGAACCTTGATCTCCCAGGTCCTAGTCTGGCACTCTGACCACACTGGCTCTTGTGCAATCCTGGCAATGAGCTCACCATCGCAGTTGTCTTACGAGGAACTGCCGGTCAATGGAGAAGAGTCCATGGGGCGCTGGGGGTGGCAGGTGGGGGTTAAGAGAAAGAACTTAGCTGTTAAAGTATGTGGACAAAGGCATGTGAGAGAGGAGATGAAATGCGGGGAGTGCCCTTTATTTACTTATACACTGCTTTTCAATGACCTTCTCCAAAGCAGCTTACAAAAACAACTCATCTGTACGGCTAGAAGCAATAATGATGGTTCTCAGCAGTTATCGTGGGAATGGGGAGGGGGGCTTGCAGCCCCCAAGTATCGATGACCCCCAGGGTTCCCTATCCCTGCAAAAGAGGGATTCAATCACAGCCACAGAACGAAGTCAGCTTCAACCAGAAAAAAACCAAAACTGTCTTCTGCCAGAAAGAAATAATGGGCAGCACCAGCCAAGTCCCCATGGGGAGAGCTTTTCTGGGGCAGAGGTGCCACAACTGAAAAGGCCCCCCACTCTCCTAGTAGCCACCTCCTTGACCCGAAGAAGGGCCTCCGAACACACAGACAGGTCCATGTGGAAGAAGGCTTCACTTCAGGCACCCAAGTTCAAAGCTTCCCAGGACCTTAAAAGGGTAACCAGCAACCAGCAGTTTGAACTGAATTTGGAAATGCACCAGCGGTCAGCGAAACTGTTGTAAAACTAGTGAGATATATTTCATTGGCTGGGCCTAGCAAAGTTGGACACAGTCCATCATCTGAGCAGTGTTCAAAGGAAGCCCCACATCCAAAGGATTGCAGTAGGGCCCCCTTCACAACTGATGTGGTTTGCATGTGTTTTGTTCTTAGACTTTTGCATCCATGCTTAAAAGCTGTTTTTATGTGGTTTTATTTTTAGTTACTTTGCGAAACCTGAGCAGCTCAATACCTCAAAACCTAAGGTCTAACAAACTCTTTTTTTTAATGGACAAAAAACACACTGGCCAAACATTGTCAACACACCCATCTACTGCAATAATTAATAAATATTTGCAATGCACCATCCGCATGCTAGGTGCTGTTCAAAAGCATCACGTTGATAGACTGATCCAGGCTGCTTGATTTCTGCATCAAAAGCTGAGTTTCTCCATAGCTTATTAGTTCAACCCACCCTTTTCCATGCCGTTATCAGGTGCAGTATGAAGCCTGCAAATCGGACAAATGGACAATGGCTAGCTTACCCAGATGCTAGCATAAGAGCCAGTGGGCTGATAAGGACAGAGCAAGTTCAAGAGGAGCTGGCAAGAGAGGAAAGAAGCAGGGCGCTCTTATTTTCAGGGCGGGCAAGCTTGTGGCAGCATCTGAAAGGAGCAGAGTAAGTTGAGCATCGCTCCTTCAAGAGACAGGCAGAGCAACTCTGGCCCTTTCCCCCTATATGGAAGCAATTTTCTCCAAAAATAAACAATTTTGCAGGCTGCTACATGAGAACTTCCTCCTGCTGACAAAGAAATCTTGGCAATGATGGGGGAGGAGCGGAGGATGAAACACCAACCCAGTGGGAGAGCAAGGAAGTTCGGTTTCAGCAGCCAGGCTTTTTTCCTAGAGCAGGAAGCTGGGGAGAGTTGGGGGGGGGGGGACATGCAGGGAAGCAAAGCGTTTGCAAGCAGAGTGGAGCTGAAGCAGCAAAAGTCGAACTTGGGAAAGTGGAAATAGGACTTCCCTTCTGGGGTCAGAAGGAGAGGGAGGGCTGGGCTGTGTGTGTGAGTGAGTGAGTGATCATAAAATCATTGCTTCCGAGGGTCAGTGATAGGAGGCTTTGAAATCTGGTACAAGCAGAACTTGCAAAAATAAAAATAAAAAATCAGTACCCCAAAACCACATACCTAGAGGGCTGCTTGAACCTCCTGTCATGGGAGCAAACTGCTAGCCAAATAGCCCTAAATAGATCTGAGTGGTGGCATGCCACAGGCAAGTATGCCTCTGAACACTAGTTGCTAGGAATCACATGTGGAAAGAGTACAGTGGTACCTTGGGTTAAGAACTTAATTCGTTCTGGAGGTGTGTTCTTAACCTGAAACTGTTCTTAACCTGAAGCACCACTTTAGCTAATGGGGCCTCCGCTGCTGCAGCCATGCAATTTCTGTTCTCATCCTGAAGCAAAGTTCTTAACCTGAGGTATTATTTCTGGGTTAGTGGAGTCTGTAACCTAAAGCGTCTGTAACCTGAAGCGTCTGTAACCTGAGGTACCACTTTAATGTTGAACCCAGGCCCTGCTTGTGGCCTTCCTATGGAAATCTGTTTGGCTGTTGTGAGAACCATAAGCTGAACTAGATAGGCCACTGGCCTGATACAGCAAGATCTTATATTCTCATAAGTTTATGCCTTCTAAAACACAAACTAAGCATCAGTTCAGGCAGAAAGCAAGCCGCATTCACGTGCTCAAACTACTCAAAGCCAGTCTCCATCAGAGGTCTTTACAGTACCTCTCACTTGATAACAATCTTGCTCACTTTTCAGGTTCTTTCCTTTTCAGTGGAGAAGGTGCCACAACTCTGCAAAGGGGCTTAGCTGGAGATAGCATTCGTCTACAACAGCTCCCACACCAATTGTGATTTTCCGAGAACCTGCCTCCAACAGAACTCATTGCTGAATTCTGAAACTGAACATTTGTTCCTACCACCCCCATTTTCCTACCAACCTTATAGAAGCCAGAATGACAATCATCTCTCACAGAGCAAAAACAAATGCCAAATGTTCATTTCCATGTAGATACATAAACTCCATGACCTCCGCACAGGACTGGAAAAAGGGTCATTCCACTCTACTGGCAGAAAGACATCAGCCATCTTGCTGGCCGATGTTTCTTAATCTTCCTCAAATTTCTCTGCTGGTTTGGAGCCAGTTTCATCACTGGCCGTCTCGACAGCTTTAACAAAATCACTCTCCTCGCCACTTGCAGCTTCAACCACAATGCATTACTGGCAACCTGCTAGTGGTGCAGCAATAAAACTGCTAGCACATTTGCAAAGCTAAGCAGTATCTAGTAATGGTTGTCCACCTTGTGGAGCCTCACCAAGAGGGCAATCTATCTATACACACACACACACACATATATATATACAGTATATCAGTTCTGCTTTATGAAGCAGGGACAGGACCTGAACTCATCACAGTGGAATTAAGCTGAAATTAGCCAGGAGGTGGATGCTGAGCCAGCCTCCTTTCAACAGCCCCAACTCAAGCACCTCCAGCCACTTAGGATATCACTGCCACCAGACAGAAAAGGAGTGAGCTACAGCCACCTTATTGCTCCCAGGAATCCCTCCCAGCAGGCCAGACAGTAACGTTCATGCATTGTCCTTGGGAACAGAAATAGGTCTAGGAGATTTAGGTGCAGGGCTTGCTAATCCACAGCAACTTTTCCTCCGCTCTTTCTCAGCACAGTCCATGCTTTAAAGCTCCATGTCCAAGTGCCTTTCTTTTTGCCCTAAAGCAGGGGTCTGCAACCTTTAAGACAAAAAGAGCCACTTGGACCCATTTCCGAAGGAAAAAAACTGGCAGCCGCAAAACTCATCATTATAAAAATAACTTTTTTGTCACTTTTTTTTATTATTTCTTTGTTTGACCCCTCAGAATTACTCCTCCTCATAGAAATAAACGTTAAATTAACAAGTTACCTTTTTGTGTGTGTGTGTTCTTCACTCCCCTTCAAAACAGTGACCAGCGTACATGTCCCCTTTCAATGCAGTGACCAGCGTACATGCCCCTTACAATGTAGCGGGCGGGCGGGAAGGTGACGTCGGGACGGTGCGTGACTGATGCACGCACCACCCCCATGCGACGTCACAGCCAGTACAGCGCCCGCCACAGTGGGGAGTGTCGGGGCGCACAATGCGCCTCCTTCCCTTGCTAGTATCTGCCCCAGAGCCGCGGCAAAGGTGTAAAAGAGCCACATGCGGCTCCGGAGCCACGGGTTGCAGACCCCTGCCCTAAAGCTTTCCCCATGAAGACCTACTCTTTAAAGCTGAATTGGAGCAAACGTCAACCCTGCGGAAAACCTGAATTGATGTTTGCTTTGATTGAGCACCCAAGAGTGGGTTTCCAAGGGGAAAGCTCCAGGGCAAAAATAAAAAAATTAAAACCACGTATAGAGATGGAGCAGGGCAAAAGGTCAGTGTGGCTAAGTCCATGGTCACTGGGTTTGTAGTGGCAGCATTGTGAAGGATCTGGCAGCATTGTGAAGTAGCAAAAGGGCTAGCAATCTGCAATTCCTAACATTGCAGAAGAAGTCCTGGTTGTTGTGCGCATCGAAAACGTTTCTCTCACCTCAATCAGTGCCTCTCCCGTCTCTCTCTCTGCAGCCTGGAGATAAGGCAGCATGCCGATTCCACAAGTATGCCCCTCTCTTGTCCTTCTCTAGCCAGCAGTCCCCGTGTATCACTGTCCCTTGAAAAGAAAATAGGAAAAGGTCATTTCCTCACCTGCAGCTGGTCCAGAGAACTCAAGAGAATAAGGAGGGTGAACCTGGGGCCCTCCAGATGTTGCAGGACTTTAAGTCCCATCATCCCTGAACACTGGCTGTGACTGATGGGAGCTGGAGTCTAACAACATCTCCTGAAGGTCAGTATTCCAAGACAGCAACATTCACCCAATCCTGTAAGAGATCATTTTCCTCTGCCAGTTCGGGCAGAAAGAACATGTCCCCAAACCCTGATCATTCAGCATCCGTTGCTTTAGTGCTGCCTCTGACTAATCCCTGGACTTTAGCTGATGCTTTCTTAAAAGCCCCAAACCTCAAGGATTCTTGAAACCTCAAGCATATTTCTGCCATCCGCCAGCCATCTGGAACTCAGGCCCGCTGCTGTTGCTCCCATCAAATTGCTGCACGACTCGGCCTGTCTGGTTTTCATTTCTTGTAACATGGCATTGACAGCATAGAAAGCTTTGATTCTGCTCTGCCACCCAGCCCCAAGGAAGGAACCACAGAGGTCTTCCAAGGAGGAGGTCAGGAATCTGGGATTCATACTCTCTCTCTCTTTTTTAAAAATGATATTTATTAAAATTTCAGAGAAAAAAAGAATTACAGAAAAACAAAAAGTAAAAATACAAAAAAAATACAAAATACAGAATAAAAGAATAAAAGACACTTAAAAAGAGAAAAAAGAAAAATGGGTCAATCTTTCCATAGCTTACATTCATATCCTTGTTTCCCTGACCTCCTCATACCTCCCTGCTTCATACTCTCTACTTGTAGACACAGCATGGGCTTTGTGTGCAAATTTTGATTGGAACAAAGAAGTTGATCTCGTGTCCAGGAGGCGTCAGTATTTTACCTCTTAGTAAAGCCAGGATTACTTGTGGCTGAGCGTAGAAAAATGCATCAACACACATGGGGTCAACTGGACCATTGTCATTGTTTATATGAAAGCCGTAACACTTGAATGTGCGGCTGTGAGTTTCAAAATGCATCTAAAGAAGACTTTGCCCCCCAGATGTTTAGGACTGCAACTTCCATCAGCTTCCGCCAGTGTGTCCAATGGGAACTGACATTCAACATCTGGAGGGCACCAGGTTGCTGATTTAAAGGAGAATTCCCAAACCTGAGAAAGGCTATCAAAAGGCCTTCAGATCACTAGACATTGTCCAGATCTTTAACTAAGACCAACAACAGAACCACATGATGCAAAAATGAAGCACATGCTAGCTTTTAAATTGTCACCTCACATAGTTTCCTGACTTGGAGCAGCATTTTTAACTTTGATGACTGTCCTACTTGGTGGGACGATCTACTTGGCTCTCAACATGGACCATGTGGTCAGTCCTGATTCAGTCACATCGAGCAAGAGCAAAGGGCTAAAGTTCATTCAGTGACAGCAGGGAGCCAGAGACTAAGAACTCATTGTAAGCAAGACAGGACAGAGTTTGGAAGCCCCAAGCCACCAATTGTCCAACATCAACAGGAAGCAGGAAGACCTCTCTGGTTCCACGCATCCCCTGTGTAGCCAGAGGCCCAAACATGACCTGATGCTGGATCCAGGCTTGCAACATTGGCTGACAATACTTCCCCACCTGCTTTGATATCTAACCTCCTAACTTGCAAGAGTCCAAAACAAAAGCCATCTCCAGCTGTTTTTCACCCTCAGGTGAGCACTAAGCCCTGGAGTGACCCAAGCAGTCACTCAGGAAGACAATATTGTTCAGCCTGCCAAAAAATCGGATGGGTGAGTCAAGACATGTTGCCCTGTGGATAGAATTCCTTAGCACCATTGTAGAGAGTGCATGCTTTGCATGCAGAATGGCCCAGGTTTAATGCCCAGTTAGATAACCTCAGGAAGCATATGCTGGGGAAAAGAGACCTTGGAGACTGGCTGTCAAGTCAGAGAAGGTAATATTGAGCTAGATCAGGGATGGGAAACTTGTGTCCCTCTTGATGTTGTCAGCTCTCATCAGCCCAAGGCAGCATGGTCAATGCTCAGGTATTATAAACGGTGTGGTAGTCTAGAAGGCTACCAGTTCCACATCCTTGGGTGAGATGAATACAGTCTCAGGATAAGCACAATTGGTTTACCCCAAGCTCTCTTGCACTAGAATTTAAGATACTGTTGTGTATCTCTTTGATTCTGCAGTCACCTGGGGCAACAAAATAGCTTGGAGTGACTGTGAACAAATTTTAGGCTGCTTCACAGTAACCCCCCCCCCAAAACCATATGGGGCTGAACAGGTTTTTTTTAAAAAAGCTGTGTTTAGTTACATTTTCGTCTCAAAATTAGATTACTGAGTTAATCTTGAACACTGCAGAATTTAAAAGAATAAGATTAATTAGCTGAACAGATTCACATCTGCTTATACAACAAGTTTAATTAGACTGATGAACAGTGATTTATCTTTCTGATAATCTTTAAATTAAATTCCATGTATCAAGTTGACTATTAATTTATTGCTGCTAATGCTACACCATGGTCAGTGGTAACGATTTTATTATGAAATGGGATGAACATCCGTTATTAGCTTCCAAGCATCACTGCTTAGCCAAAAAGAAAAACGTAGAGCAGTATCTTGGTGGGTGGGGGTGATATTTCGGAACTCGGAGAATGTCAGCAGTTCAAAATCTGAAAGGATGTCGGTACTGCACAACCACAGAGAAAACAGAATCCAACTAAACTGTCTGCTGTAGAAGTGCCATTAAGAGGCAAGTCAAGGCAAATTACATTGGATAAACTAAGCCCAGCTGCTTTTGCTAGAACGAAGGAGCTGCAAGGGTTTTGGAGATCACGAACATCTTCCATGCAAGCCACAGCCCTGAAGACTGAGTAGTCAAGAGTGGGGAAACATCCAATGAAGTCTGTGTTGTGGGGGAGCCCCAGGAAACACAACACATTAGTCCCTGAGCATGAGCGAAACTTCATTCCCATGGCTGTTAAGGACTGCTGTCTCCTGTCCCCTATGGGGAAGCAGCAGGCAGCAAGAATGATGCCTTCTGGCAGGGCATCATATTTGAAAATTCCATGTTCAGCGAATGTTCGGACACAGAACTTTAAGGTGTGGCCCTGTGCCCAGAGACATAGCAGAAAAGGAGGTCTGGATGAGCCCTTAGGCTATCTCTTCAGTTTATGGCTGGGGCAAAATTTGAGCTAGGAATTTGTTGATTCTTAATTGAGTGCAGGCCCGCGGGTGGGGCTGTGGGTTAAACCACAGAGCCTAGGGCTTGCCAATCAGAAGGTCAGCAGTTCGAATCCCTGCGACGGGGTGAGCTCCCGTTGCTCGGTCCCTGCTCCTGCCAACCTAGCAGTTCAAAAGCACGTCAAAGTGCAAGTAGATAAATAGGTACCGCTCCAGCGGGAAGGTAAACGGCATTTCCGTGCGCTGCTCTGGTTCGCCAGAAGCGGCTTAGCCATGCTGGCCACATGACCCGGAAGCTGTATGCCAGCTCTCTCGACCAATAAAGCGAGATGAGCGCTGCAACCCCAGAGTTGGCCACGACCGGACCTAATGGTCAGGGGTCCCTTTACCTTTAATTTAGTGCAACCCCATATACATCAACTCAGAAACAAGTCTCACTGAGCTCAGTGTGCTAACTACTTAAGCCAGTATAGGACAGCAGCCTCAGTCTCTTCCAGCGGAATTCGATACAGAGGTAAGTGGGGTATTTGTGCTGGTATGAGGTCCGCTCATGCAATGGGACTCCCTCCCCCCCATGTTCCCCTAAAGCTGTTCTGGGGTTTTCCCCAACTCTCCAGAGCAGATTTAGGGGGGCTTGGAGAGAGGAGGGTGAGGAAGCCCTGTTGCATAAGTGGACCTCATTCTGTGCATGCAACACCTTAGTGGAATCCCACCCATAACACTGGAAAGAGTTCTCTTTTGAGCCCATGCTAGAAAGTAAAGATTATTTTACACCAAGAGTAATTGGGACCTTGCAGTTGTTGCTGGACTTCAGCTCCCATAATCTCTGACATTAACCATGCTGGCTGGGACTGATTAAAGCAATATCTGATGGCTCCGTGTTGGCACACCCAAGATTTACACCTTGACATAATTTTGTGTAGCTACAACATTGCTGGCCTTGACATCTCGGCTAGTCCTCAGATTTTGAGATGAGCCAGTCCCTAGTTGCTCCTTCCTAGGGCTGTTAAAGCCACAATATCTACATTCATATATAAATTATGGCATTGTTCCATATGCTGTATAAAGATAAATAGCAGGTGCATGGTACAGGTAGACAACAAAATATACATAAAGAATGAGCAAGTGTAACAATAATAAGCAAAGAAGGGAAAAAAGAACTAGTTCAATAGCACTGAATTTTCAGATGATTGAACTGAAGTTAATACTTGAATGACGTTTATCTTTGCTGTTTGTTTGTACAAGTAAGTGTTCACAATATGCATACTTTTTACGGGTGTGCACCAACCACAAGATTCGACTTGTGTTTCTAACTTTGGGAAGCAGCTCAATCTTTCAGAACCATTCTGTGCCTTTAAAATTCAACTCATTATTGGGGGCCAAATCAGATCTGTTAAAAATGAAGGTCAGTCCCACCCCCTCCATTTACTACAGTGGTGAACCTACACACACATTACAGAAATGAATAAAATTTGAGGGCACAGCAGTTCCTCCAGATTAAGGGGTTGCATTAAGCCTGCCAAATTGCAGGCACATAAAGAACCTTTAAAATTAATGGCGTATTGGGGTTTTGGAAGGAAGGAAGGAAGGAAGGAAGGAAGGAAGGAAGGAAGGAAGGAAAGAAAGAAAGAAAGAAAGAAAGAAAGAAAGAAAGAAAGAAAGAAAGAAAGAAAGAAAAGTTCTCTTTTATTTTATGCCAGAATTGGATGCAATTTGCAAGCATGATAAACCCTTATGAGGGAATGAAGTCTGCCAAATTTCAGAATGATAGCAGCAAAGAAGACGGAAAGGAAAGGAAAGGAAAGGAAAGGAGGAAAGGAAAGGAAGAATTATGGCTGCAGGGATTCTATTTTATCATTTTGGGGTGGGTACAACAGAAATCATGGAGATGATGGAGGCAAAAAGAGCATGGAAGAAAATGTCAGTCCCTCTCATGGACTCTGCTAGTGGTTGATTAAAAACAAAGTTCCCAGAGTGCATTGGAGAATTAGTAAGTCCCTGATCTAACTCAAGATGCCTTGTTAACAGCACAATCCAACTGAATTATGAAAACTGCCCCTCTCTGTGCCCCATAATTTGAAAAGTACATAGGGCCGACACACATTCCTAATAAATATTAATATTGATATTACAAAAGTTAGTGCGAACTTGTCACATGGAACATGGGATATGTTCATTCAAGCGTCTAGCGTTTTAAAAATAAAAATCCGAGCAAGTTTAGGCCTTTAGAAGTATTAACCCCTTCCTTCAATTAAAAAAAACCACAATTCTACAAGCTAAGTCTAGCTACGCTACTGTTCTGTGCCTTTCCCCCCAACTCCTCCTCCCAGTTCATTTCAGAGAGAAAGCAAGAAAGTCTCTCTTCTTCACAAAGCTGAACAAAGCAACTTAAAACTGCCTTCCAAAAACCCTCGTGAAAAGAAAACTGAAACAATTTTACCACAACAGCAAAACCTGCAGGCATTTGAAACCCCACTGGGGAAAGAAAGCCCAAGCCCGAACTTTAAAGCAGAGGGCCAGCTGTTTTATTTATTATTATAAGAAAAAGGGATGGGGGATTGGATTGTTTCACCTGGTAAGCTTTCTGTGATATTGAACAAAGACAAAAGCACAGTACAAGACAAAACCATATTGTAGGGTGTTCAAAGCAGTTGGAACATTGTCTTTTGCAGACAAGAATAAAAGCAACGGCAAGACCCACGTATGAAATACATGCAAAACAACCAAAAAGATGCAACAGAGATTCTCTGGGGATTTGCACCACAGTGTCTGACAAGAAAGTCGCGACTTTGACAAAAGTATTCCCAGGATTTACGAACATACAAAATACAAAGCTTTGGCTCAGTGAGTCTGGATCAGGGGTAGGCAACCTAAGGCCCGGGGGCCGGATGCGGCCCAATCGCCTTCTCAATCCGGCCCGCGGATGGTCCAGGAATCAGCGTGTTTTTACATGAGTAGAATAGGTCCTTTTATTTAAAATGCATCTCTGGGTTATATTTGTAGGGCCTGCCTGGTGTTTTTACATGAGTAGAATGTGTGTTTTTATTTAAAATGCATCTCTGAGTTATTTGTGGGGCCTAGGAATTCATTCATTTTGTTCCCCCAAAATATAATCTGGCCCACCACACGGTCTGAGGGATGGTGGACCAGCCCATGGCTGAAAAAGGTTGCTGACTCCTGGTCTGGATAGCTCAGCTGGTTAGAGGGCTCTATTGATAGGTGTTGTCTGCAGTTGCAGTTGCTCGGGGTGCCTTCAACAAGTCTCCTGGATGGCCATAAGAGCTATTCTGCATGGCGGTTCAGTTACCCCAACTAGACTTGTGTAAGCATGCACTGCACAGATGGGGGCTGTAACTGAATTTCAGTGTGCTGCAGCGAACGTCGGTGCAAAGCCATACCCTCCATCATTTTAGGAGGGCAATTCGGGGGGAACCCCCATCACCACCCCACTGACCCTGTCACTTGCCCCCTCCCTGACGCTGATCCCTTCCTCGTCCACCCCGCCCCTCCCTCCACAACCTCCTACCTTTGTCCAGTCCTCCTCCTCTGCAGCCTCAGGGGTATGTTGGAAGACACCCCATGGACTGCAGCGGCCTACTGGAAGTTCACCCCGGCCTCAGCTGTGTACAGAGACACAGACCCGGCCGGACGTGCCTCTTCCCCTACTCCTCCAGCACTGCAGACAAACCTTTGGTGCTGCCATGGAGGAAGGAGGAAGAGGAGGTCAAGGTAAGTTTTCCTTCCATTTATTTTTATCCTGCACTCTGGTGTGAGCCAACTGACTGATGCCACAGCATGGAACCAGAAAGCCCCCGTCTTTGGGTCCCTTGCTCTGGCGCAACAGCCACAGGGGAACAAAATTGGGGCATTTAGGATCAGAAGTGGCTTCTGCTAATTTGGGGTGTCCCGGTTAAATTGGGACACTTGGGGGTTATGCAATGTGAAGGTACCTGGACCTGCCAGGTGCATAGCTGTCAATGTTTTCCTTTTTTTAAGGGAAATTCCCTTGTTCCAAATAGGATTCCTTGCAAGAAAAGGGAAAAGTTGACAGCTATGGCCAGGTGAAGCACCGCAGAGGGTTGCTGTCCTTCTAAGTGCTCTAAAAATGAGGATAAAATCTACAAATAGTTCCTTCTTGGCACTGCACAGCATACCGACCTCATGTTCTTGGTACGCTCAATTCTAGCAATTCCTGCAGTCTGTCAAAGGTATTTCTAATGACAGGAATATCAAGAATCCACCACGGTATCTCGCCTAGTGTGGGGGAGGCAGCGGTCACACCATCACCCCCTATTCCCCCCCCCAACCTCCAGCCCTGCCTCCCATATGCCTCCAATATAAATAGACAAGGGTGGGAGGAGAAGGAAGCGGCTGGTGGGAGAGAAAGCCACGAACTACAGTCTTGGTGACCTTTGGCTTTCCGACTTGGAGCTATAGACAACACTTTTGGCAATGTGCCTCCCTGGCTGTCCTCCAGCTGCATCCCTATTCCCCTAGGAGGAGGAGGAGGGATGTCTTCTTCGCCAGGGCCTCACATCCAGGGCCTCCGAGGGTCGGCAGCTTCAACTGCCACGGCTCAGGGCTATTCTTAGCATCCGAAACGCTAGCGTGGAAAGGAGCCAGAAAGTTTGCAGTACAAAGGCCTGCTTGTCCGAGGAAGAGATGAAAAACAGCCTCCAAAAGCCTGGAGTTTAAGGAGGGATGGGAGAGGTTTGGCCCAGGGTGAAGGGGCGGGAAGAGAAGAGCTTCTGGAAGAAAAACAGAAGAAGAAACACAAGGGAAGGGGAGAAAACCAAGAAAAACAAACCCTTCTCAGCAGACGCAAGAGTAGCCACACCCCAAAAGCAACCAGAATTCCAGCAAAGAATCTTATTCCTCTGGTCCTTGCCTGTGAGTCACTCTTGGCTCCTCCCTAGGAATAAAACTTGCCCAGAGGCCTGGAAAAAAAAGGACTGCTTTGCAAGGGTCATGCGGTCCCAAGCCACATGGGAATGCTGAAAGCTGGGTAGGGCCCCTTGCCTTGCTAAAATCACAAGAACCAGGAGTCCAGGGACTGAACCAAATAAAGTTGCCATGTGGTCGGTTTCAAAACAGGCCCAGCTGCCCATCACTGTCAATCCTCACTCCCAATCTGTTCACTCCCAATCACTGGGCAGTTTTAATTTCTGCTTGTGTCAGTCTTCAGAACTCCACACAGCTAGTTCATAAAGCTGTTTGTTGCATGGAGGTCTGCAGCCTTTCCTGTGGGAGCAAAAATGCAGAATGAGCGTAAACGCATAGTCAGAGGGCAGAGGCATTGCCATTACCTGCATGGTGGCAAAACAATTTTAATTGCAGGGAAATGCAGAGTTAATATACAAGTGGTACCTTGGTTGTTGAATGGCTTGGCTCTCAAACAAATCGGCTCCCGAATGCGGCAAACCCGGAAGTAAGTGTTCCAGTTTGCGAATGTTTTTTGGAAGATGGATGTCCGACGTGGCCTCCGCAGCTTCCAATTGAGTGTAGGAAGCTCCTGCAGCCAATTGGAAGCCACGCCTAGGTTGTCAAATGGTTCCAGGAGTCGAATGGACTCCTGGAAGGGATTAGGTTCGACAACCAAGATACCACTGTAATTCCAGCTGTCAACTGCCAACTTGGCAAAATATATTTACTACATTGGGGATGGTGATATTGGGGTTTCCCCCCTTAAGTAACCTCTAGAGGGGTTTTTTCGACACCTGGAATGGGAGACGGTGGGCAGGCCAGAAGAACAAGAATAAAGAAGGTGTTTGGGTCAGAATGACACATGGCAGATATACCCTCCAATATTTCTCTGATGAAAATAGGGACGTCCTAAGGAAAAGGGGGACATTCTGGGATCAAGTCAGAGACCAGGACGGCTTCTGTAAATCCAGGACTGTCCCTGGAAAACAGAGAGACTTGGAGGGTCTCAGATACAGTGGTACCTCGGGTTACAGACACTTCAGGTTACAGACGCTTCAGGTTACAGACTCCACTAACCCAGAAATAGTAGCTCGGGTTAAGAACTTTGCTTCAGGATGAGAACAGAAATCATGCGGTGGTGGTGTGACAGCAGCGGGAGGCCCCATTAGCTAAAGTGGTACCTCAGGTTAAGAACAGTTTCAGGTGAAGAACGGACCTCCAGAACGAATTAAGTTCTTAACCCGAGGTACCACTGTATGCAAAAGAGAAAGTTGTAATGTCAGAATCCAACTCAGGACTCAGCCCCAGAACCTACTTTCATTGAAACTCGAGGTTAGCTGCTGAGCTTTCCAGAGGGCTAAGTGGACAGCAGGGGTCACTCCCCATTAGCAGAGGGTTTTTTGTTTTCGTTTTGAGGAGTACACCCCTCACAGTTACTCTTTGGATGGTACAGAGGACCTTGTATTTTCCTAGCACTCAAACTGAAACAACTTGTGTCTGGGAAATAGCACTTCTTCCCCCAGGATTGCACCTTCGCTGCTGTTGAGCAGTAACAGCTTATAGAGAATATTGCTTTTGACATAATTAACCTACAAGCACACACAGCTTCTCTCTGCAAAGTTGCTTAGAAACAGGATACTGGGTACCTTCTATCATGGTGGACTTGTAAGGTAATAAAAGCTTTCTGGGAGATGATATATAATGAAATAAAAAAAATGCTTAAAATAACTTTTGTTAAGAAACCAGAAGATTTTTTATTAGGAATTACAGGTATCGACATACCAAAGGAGCAGAAAAGACTATGTATGGAACCTCAACCGCCCAGGTGCTGTTAGCCCAGAGTTGGAAAGAAGACAAAGTCTCGACCAAAGAAAGATGGCAGACCAAGCTGATGGAATACGCTGAGATGGCAAAGCTGACTGGAAAACTGAGAAAACCAAGAGGATAAAGACTTTATAAAAGAATGGGGGAAATTTGTAAGTTACCTGGGAGACCACTGTAAGTAGATGGAAACAAGAGCAGGATTCTACTCACTTGTAGTGTAAAAAAAATATTAAGGACAATATGGTTTGATATAAAAATTGGAGTACGAATGAATGTGCAGTTGTAGATGCTTAAAATTAGACTCCATGGAGGGAAGTCTCAAGATTCAGAGAATCTCCTTATACAGATATGTTCTTATTAGTTTGTGTTTATTTGTACTTTGTACTTGTAAAATCAATAAAAATTATTTATAAAAAGAAAACAAACAGGATCCTGGGCAGGATGAGCCCCTTGTCAATGAAATTCATACTTGCACATTTCATGGAACAGACTGTGAACCAGTGCAAAGGTGCTGTCTCGTGTATCCTTCTTTGCTTTGCCTCTCGTGTGGTTGTATCCTGGCTAAATCATCTTCCCCTTTAACCATCCACACATAGCAGCTGCCTGGTTTCCCCTCTGCTTCCAGCACATGGCAGGACAAAGCCAACTAATGAACCACACGTTACATAAGGTACTTGCATAACCTTGTGAGCGTTAAACTACCACTGCAGGAGGAGAGACGTGACCATTGCATTCTTTGAACGCAAGTTGGCCAATGGAAGGCAAACTTCAGATTCCCATGAAGTTTAATTTAATTTCATGGTGGCCAGAGAGAATATTTGGTTCAGTTCTGCAATGGACTTCAATGCTGCCACTGGACACTCTAAGAGAAAAAGCCACATGTACATTTATTCAATTAAATGTGCATTCGTATCATTTTTGTTTGCTTTTTCCAAAGAGAGAGAAAATAATAGGTTTTAGAAAGTTGAGAAACTGCTCCATGGGGGAAAGTGAGGTGGTTCATCCATTCCACCAATCAGTGAAGTACACAAACAAGTTTCTTTCAGAAACACAGAGAACCAGTTTGCTCCAAGATGGATCTCAGAGAAAGAAAATACCAGTTGAACAAAATCTAATCGGTATGCTCAAATAATGCATGTTTGAATGTATCCTGGATGTATGAACTGACTTCAATGATTTTCATATTTTTATGAAATTGTATGAGTGTTCGGCTGGTGGAATTTGCTTTCTGATCACTGTCAGGCTTGCAAAGTCCTCTTTTAGGGCAAAACATTGCATGCTAACACATACAACAAACCTAGATAAAAGATGCTTTGGAAGGGAGCGGAGTAGAGAAGTAGGTAGGGGGAGTGTAAATGCTCAACTCTTGCCCAGCCAGCCATTTGTTTTTGTTCTAAATCAGCCACAGACGCTGCTTGCTTCTGTGACTCAAATACATACATGCAAGGGTACACACACATTTGGAACTGAGGGTGGGGGAGGTGGGAAGGGAGAGAGAGCACAGTGTGGCAGACGTCATAAAAAATGCAACTGAAGGGGTAACAGGGTTTAGTGAGCAGGAAGAGGCTGTGGCAGAAAGCAGTCCAGAATTGGAGGCAGAAGTGGAGGCAGGCTACTGAAGAAGCCAAGGAATCTCCTCCTCCCGCTGCGACCAGCTCGCCTACTGCTTGGTCTCCCAGAACATAGAGAGGAATTAGAGAGCAGTGGGAAGATAGGGACCTTCGATCCTCACAACTGCCTCACTGATGCAAGACCAACTGGGAAGAGTTGCAGTGATCACTAGGCCTGTGCTGTTTTGGCTTCTTTGAATAAACAGTTAGCTTCTCAGGCACCAGGTGTTTTATTGCTGACCTGTCCACAACTCTGGGTTCTGAAGACAGCTAAGACATCCCCAACATAATCTGCCTAGTCTCTGCAGTCTGCTCTCAGGACCCCCCCCCCCCCCGTCCTGCAATTTGCAGTGGGGGAGAGGAAGTTCCCACTAAATTCAGATCAGGTCCCCGCACAGGCAGTTCGTGAAAGGAAAAGCCCGCGCTCAGAGGCGAATGGCATGACAAACGTCATGTGTCGCCTGTCCTTACTATCCAAAATAGCAAACCCAGCCACGTTTGTGAACTGATGCACATACAAGATATCAAAAAAGGGGGAAATCCTTTGTGAAAGATGTCAGAAAGCAGAGGGGGGAGAGCAGACCCTCTCCGGTGTGCATAATATAGTTGCTGTTCTGAAATTGCTCATTTAGTAATTGTGCATCTTCCACACTCTCATGAACATGATTCTGGATAACAATGGGATCACAGTATATAGATGAGAGTGGGAGCCAGCAAAACATTTTCTCTTTCTCCAGCACAATACAGTGGTACCTCGGGTTAAGTACTTAATTCGTTCCGGAGGTCCGTTCTTAACCTGAAACTGTTCTTAACCTGAAGCACCACTTTAGCTAATGGGGCCTCCTGCTGCCGCCGCGCCGCTGGAGCCCGATTTCTGTTCTTATCCTGAAGCAAAGTTCTTAACCTGAAGCACTATTTCTGGGTTAGCGGAGTGTGTAACCTGAAGCGTCTGTAACCTGAAGTGTATGTAACCTGAGGTACCACTGTACAAGGTTCCCTGGTGGGGTAGGGAAGGGCCAAAGGAGAATGATGGGGACGGCCATGTTTGCATTTCTCACATCTGTCTCATTCATGCTAAAATGTATCTGAATGCATGTGTGCCTTAATTTTCACATCAAAAGCTGCACACAGGTGAGCAAAGACAAAACCTCTCCTGTGGTCTGCCTCCAGAATTCCACCCCACCCGCCCAAAAAAAACCCACGCCCCTTACTTCCAGTATCAGAGCTGGGAGGAAAGTTCCTCAGACAACAGAGCATGAGGTGGGAAGGCAGGGTGAATGCCCATGTAATTGCAGCCATCTTTTCTCCATGTAAAAAATAGACTCCATGAGATGGGAGGAGAAGGGGCTTTTATGCCTCAAGTTCTTGTATTATGCTACAACAACAGCAAGAATATTAATAGCTAGAATCTGGAAAAGTGAAATAGTACCAACAAAAAAAGGAATGGCAGGCTAAATTATTTGAATATCTCGAACTGGCAAAGAAGACGGATGCGATTAGGAGACATTTGTCGTGGAATTTAGTGTGAGGAGGATGCAGGCCTAAGACACTTCAATATGTCTTTAGGCTTTTTGGGGAGGGGCAGGTAAGTGTAAACTTTGAAAGCAGTAGAGTAGTGAGCCGAATGTTTAGCCTTTAACCAAGGAGAGCCAAATTCAAATCCCAGGCTCAGCCCTGAAGCTTCCTAGGTGACCTTTGGCAAGTCACTCATCCATTGTAAGGATTAAAATGGGATAAACCCCCTACGTTGCTGACGTCGCCCCCCCAGTTCTTTGGAAGAAGGACAAAGACATAATTGCAACAGCCAACACAATTTGATCTTTTGGCTGCAGCCGAAATGCCTTCTTTTTGCATTGTGTTTTCAAGCTTGCTTTCCGCTTTCCAGAACAGCTAATCCAAAACAATCTTAAAATATGCATCTTGTTCTACGAAATGTTGGGAGGGGATGAACAGGCAGGCTAAGAAGCCTTTGGAGAGGCCAGTGGCATGAGTCACTCACTCAGCCCCACTCCAGAGGCAAGGAAAGCACTTCTTAAGAGGTCCCTGGAGGCTCAGGATACGGGCAGCTGCTTCCTGAACAGCACTCACGGGGCAGCCCACTGGGCAAAAGGCACAAACCCAGCTATGCTAATCATCTCTGCCATTGCCTGTCATAGCTTTTTTACCCTGTAAGCTGACGTTTGCTGTCATACATACCCCCAGCTGGTGTCTTGAATGGGCCCTGTAGTTCTCCAATGGCAGTCTGGGCCCCCAACCTGGGAAGGCGGCGTGAAAGGTCACCCTTTATTGCTTACAAAGCTCCGGAAACTTGCACAGGTTGGACTTGAGCAAGAAGGTGGGTGAGCCATCAGGAAAGGGGGGGGGGCAAAAGATCAGAAGGTAACTGAAACCATCAACAGAACTGTACAGAACAACCTTACATTTACAGAGCAAAATATCCTCTTGAATTATACACTCAGAACATGGAACCCTGCAAAAGGACAATATGAGTGGACTCTCCCTGCCCTTACCACAGCAAAAAGACTGATACTGGTGAACGGGAAAAATAAAAATGTGGCTCCCTCCTACGACTGGACTGAAGACTTATACAAGCTCACAGCATATGAACAACTTGCATATAAATGCAGACTTGCCATGGACAAATTCAGTGATATTTGGAATCCATTCTTACAAATACTGCAATAGGTTAAGACATGGGTAGGCAAACTAAGGCCTAGGGGCCAGATCCGGCCCAATCGCCTTCTCAATCTGGCCCGTGGATGGTCCGGGAATCAGTGTGTTTTTACATGAGTAGAATGTGTTCGTTTAAAATGCATCTCTGGGTTATTTGTGGGGCATAGGAATTTGTTCATTCCCCCCCCCCCAAAAAAAATATAGTCCAGCCTCCCACAAGGTCTGAGGGACAGTGGACTGGCCCCCTGCTGAAAATGTTTGCTGACCCCTGGGTTAAGATCTGGTGAAGTAAAGTATACAGTTTGGGGGGGGTTCCCTTCCCCCCTTCTACATTGGTTCTGTTTCTGTTTCTTTTTCTCTCTTTTATTTACGTCTCGCCATGTTTAGTGCACATATAATTATGTGCTTTTTGAACTTTCGATAAAGATGTTCACTTAAAAAAAGAAGAAGGAAAGAGGGGGCCAAAAGTTTAGCAGCCAGACTCGGCATTACCCTGTTAAGAACAGAGGCAGTGCATTTGTTTCCATGTTAAAGCCCTCTGCTCAAGAGTCACTTTCTCCCCACCTCAAAATGCAGCTCTTAAATGTCTCCCAGCATGTAAAGGGGCTGAAGCACCCAGCCCCAGCCTTCCCTCTTTGCAGTTAAAAGCCTCCCAGGACAGGAAGCAGCTGGTAGTGGTGGGCAAAGGGGAATGGAAGAGGGCCTTGGTTGGGCAGAACATCAACACACATGGTGCGCTGATTGTTACAGTGTGTGGGCGATGCAGCTGTGGAATGCTCTCCACCCAGTCCCCTTCTGTTTCTCAGAACTGAAGGGCAGGTATGGGACATTCCATGGTGCCTATTCCCCTGCCTTTGCCAGCTTCTCCTTCAACAGTGGGGTGGGGTGTGGAATCAGTGTCTTGCTTACATGATGCAGACCCAGCACATGCAATGAAGATGCTTGCACAAGCAGCACTGGGGGAGAAGAATTTGGGTGGAAACCTCCCTAACTCCCTCTCATCTCATGCCAATATTCCTCTCTCCAGCACTGAATTTTCTCTCAGTAGAGAGACCAGTTCTCATCAGAAATCCCTTTTTTATATATACTTTTCAGATTTAGACATTTCACTGGTTTTACAATCATTTTGACATTTCAAAACTTGGCTTCCTCCCCCCGCCACCTTTCTGTGGTTTCTTATTTTCAGTATCTTCTGCACATCCAAATTAACTTAATTTGCTCATTTATTCATCTTCTTCAAATATACAGTCATACCTAGGAAGCGGCAAATCGCGACCCGCGCACGCGCAGACGGGGGTTGCATTCGCTTCAGGATGTGAACAGGGCTCCGGAACAGATCCCGTTCACATCCAGAGGTAGCACTGTACACTCTCAAGCAGGGGTAGGCAACCTAAGGCCCGGGGGCCAGATGCGGCCCAATCGCCTTCTCAATCCGGCCTGCGGACAGTCCGGGAATCAGCGTGTTTTTACATGAGTAGAATGTGTCTTTTTGTTTAATATGCATCTCTGGAATTTAAAATGCATACGAATTCGTTCAAATTTTCCCCCTCAAAATATAGTCCGGCCCACCACATGGTCTGAGGGACGGTGGACCGGACCACGGTTGAAAAAGGTTCCTGACCCCTGCTCTTATGAAACTGCAGGTTATTACAATTTCTCATCAGAAATCCAAAGGAACTGCATCCCTAGATTCCAGCATTGGAAGTTACCGTCAGATTGTAGGCAAGATGGAATTCTTTCAGCCCTGAGCCAAAATATTTAGACCTGCTGAATTTTTGGAAATTTCATAGAATCATAGAATCATAGAGTTGGAAGAGACCACAAGGGCCATCGAGTCCAACCCCCTGCCAAGCAGGAAACACCATCAGAGCACTCCTGACATATGGTTGTCAAGCCTCTGCTTAAAGACCTCCAAAGAAGGAGACTCCACCACACTCCTTGGCAGCAAATTCCACTGTCGAACAGCTCTTACTGTCAGGAAGTTCTTCCTAATGTTTAGGTGGAATCTTCTTTCTTGTAGGTGAAAACTCTCCCCAGAGGACGGTAGTAGCAGTGGGGGAAGGTTTAATTTAAATAATGTCTGGCTTTCCATAAATATGAGGTGGCAGAAACTTTTCTTCTTTTAAACCAGAAAAAAACCTCTTGCCATTGTGCAGCACATGTCCCAGTGAGGCTGCTGTGCTGTGACAACAGAATCATTCTGTCCCAGGAAAAGAGTGTGGCCAGGATCTGCCCTGCATTGACCTGAAGCAATGGCAAAACGTTTTTCTGATGGGGGTGGTGGCAAAACAAAACCCCTCATATTTAAGGCAAACTAAGCATTTTAAAGATTTGCTTGCCCACCCCTGAAAGTCATTGAATATTCCCACCCTCTCTTTCATTGGGATCGAATGATTCCATGATAGTAAGGGTGGGGGTGGTATTGACACACCCATAACTTCTCCTTGAATATATCCAGCAAGCTAATGGTGTTGCTGTCTTGCTCTGGCATTCGAGGCCAAATCAACATGTGGTTGCAGTCATGCTGCTTTGGGTGAGTCATGGGCTGTGGAAGAGCCAGTAGACTGAAACTCAATCCTGCCAAAACAGACAAGCTACAGATGGGTGGTTTGTGTGACCAGGGAGAGGATGCTCAACCTGTTCTGGATGGGGTTGCATTCCACCTAGGTAAAAAAAGGTAAAGGACCTCTGGACGATTAAGTCCAGTCAAAGGCGACTATGGGGTTGCTGTGCTCATTTCGCTTTCAGGCCGAGGGAGCCGGTGTTTGTCCACAGACAGCTTTCCGGGTCCTGTGGCCAGCAGGACTAAACCGCTTCTGGCACAACAGAACACCGTGATGGAAACCAGAGCGCACAGAAACACCTTTTACCTTCCCGCCACAGCGGTTTATCTACTTGCACTGGAGTGCTTTCAAACTGCTGGGTTGGCAGGAGCTGGGACAGAGCAACAGGAGCTCACCCCGTTGTGGAGATTCGAACCGCCAACCTACTGATTGGCAAGGCCAAGAGGCTCAGTGGTTTAGACCACAGCGTCACCTGCGTTTCCACCTAGAGAATCAGGCTCACAGTCTGGGGCTGCCAAGGGATCCACTTGTGTCTCCTTGGGACCCCAAGCATGGCATGCCGCAGCTTTCAGCATCCAAGGCTCATGTGCCAGCTATGCTCCCTCCTGGATTGAAATGCCTGGCTGTGGTTCTCGATGCTCTGACATCCTCTAGACTCGACCATTCTAAGTCTATAATGTGCAAGGCTGCCTTTGAAGACTGCTCAAATTATTAAAAAACACAGCTCTGGGATAGTAACTGGGACCAGTCAACAGGAACCAGTTTTAAAACAGCTCACCAGCTTCGGCCTTGGCCCAGTATACCTGAAAGAGCGTCTCCACCCCCATCGTTCAGCCCGGACACTGAGATCCAGCTCTGAGGACCTTCTGGCGGTTCCCTCACTGCGAGAAGTGAGGTTACAGGGAACCAGGCAGAGGGCCTTCTCGGTGGTGGTGCCTGCCCTGTGGAACACCCTCCCATCAGATGTCAAGGAAATAAATAACTATCTGACTTTTAGAAGTCATCTGAAGGCAACCTTGTTTAGGGAAGTTTTTAATGTTTGATGTTTTATTGTGTTTTTCATATTCTGTTGGGAGCTGCCCAGAGTGGCTGGGGAAACCACAATTACCTTGAATTTCTGCTTAACCCTCAAGAAAGAAGGGCTTTTTCGCAGGTTTAATTCAAATCCATCAAACCACCTTTGGGGAAGGTTCTCCAGCAGGGTGGAAGGAGAAAACACCTGCCCGTGTGTAGACCACCTGGTGGAAACCCTTACACATATGGTTCTTAATTGTAAAACTATATGCTGATCTTCACCAGCAAGTTCTAGATCAACTCTGCATCCCCAAATGGAAACCAGAGTTGGAGGTCATACATTTTCTATTACTGGGGAATGATCAGGAGCTCACCAAGTTAGTGGCTAAATATCTCTATTTGGTTTTTTGTCGTCGAAATACATTGCAGACGTCTGATCTCCCTGGAGACCTAGAGATGTGACGATAGACTGCTCTGCTTCCTTTCTTTCAGCAAATGTTTTGTGCCACTGAAGCAATTCTAAATAACAAAAAAAGAGGTGAGCATGCTAAGTCTTATTTGGAATCTACACACATATAAAAACTATTCTGAAAAGGGTTTTTTTAAGCATTTTAAAAAATAAATTGAATTTTCCATAAGGCTCAACATCACCACCTAGTGTCACATTGTATATTGCACTTAAAACACACTTAAAACATTTTATTTGCAGCTGTATAGCTGAGTCCTTAGTCATATAAACTCTGGCTGGGAGAGCAGGGATTATCTCTTAGGCAAGGAACCTCTCCCCCAGCAACATCACCAAGTTAGCTCAAGCAAGAGCAAGAATGATATTCCTAAGCAAACTCTGGATCTGTACACAATCCCTGAAACCTGAAGAACAGGACAAGACTCACAATTGCTGCTATGAGACTCAGTGGAGCCGAGCTGGTCAGATGCAATCCTGCCCGCTTGCCTGCCTGCCTAATGTTGCTTCAGGCCTGTGCCTTTGCCTTGTGAGCTTTGTTTTTCATATTATATTCATTACTGCACATTATCATCACTTCCATGCAACTGATAATGCTCTTGGGATGCTTGTGTATGCGTGCAAATCTGTTTTCAGTACAATAACTTCCCTGAGCATTAAAAGAGAGGTACACAGCCAATTGTTCAGTGCTATCATTATATACCTGAGCAAGAATACCCACCAGTTTGATCTAATCCCCCTCCATACCAAACCAGAGCCTGAAGGAGAACAAGTATTAAGAACCCTATTGGTCAAACGAAAGACATTCCACTTTCCAACCCTCCAAAAGCCTCCAACAGAAGGCAGCCCAGTGCCTCCAAACCATTTTCAAGTGAAAAGTGAGTCTAAATACTGATGGACACTTTTTATGGTGTGCAATCAGCATGGTTAGACTATAGCTGGGGGGTCAAGAACAGCACCTCGTATCTGTCCATCTCATCAGAAGTGACCAAATGACCCCAAAAAGTCCAATGTCTATCTTTCTAGCTGGATAAGTTCCAGGGAAATCCTGTCCAATGCTCTAACTAGGAATGACAGCTACTTCCTCCCCTTCCCTCCATGCAGATACCACTTGGAAAAGATTTGGGATGGATCTAATTGCAATCACCAGGCTTGGATCTATTACAGAAACTGGTTGCACTCAGACATATAAATCTGGCCATTATTGGCCCAAGGGAGGACCCGAACAAAGAACTGGATTGCCTTGAACGCTTGAGACAATGGCAAACTATGTCAGCCTCTGTAAGGTTGTGCTCAGCGGGCCTTTGGCTATGCCTAATGCAGCAGGTGGCGCTGTGGGTAAAGCCTCAGCGCCTAAGACTTGCTGATCATCAGGTCGGCGGTTCGAATCCCCGCGGCGGGGTGCGCTCCCGCCGTTCGGTCCCAGCGCCTGCCAACCTAGCAGTTCGAAAGCACCCCCGGGTGCAAGTAGATAAATAGGGACCACTTACCAGCGGGAAGGTAAATGGCGTTCCGTGTGCTGCGCTGGCTCGCCAGATGCAGCTTGTCACGCTGGCCACGTGACCCGGAAGTGTCTGCGGACAGCGCTGGCCCCCGGCCTCTTAAGTGAGATGGGCGCACAACCCCAGAGTCGGACACGACTGGCCCGTACGGGCAGGGGTACCTTTACCTTTACCTTTAATGCAGCGGGTGGCGCTGTGGGTTAAACCACAGAGCCTAGGACTTGCCGATCAGAAGGTCAGCGGTTCGAATCCCCGTGACGGGGTGAGCTCCTGTTGCTCGGTCCCCGCTCCTGCCAACCTAGCAGTTCAAAAGCACGTCAAAGTGCAAGTAGATAAATAGGTACCGCTCCGGCGGGAAGGTAAATGGCGTTTCCGTGCATTGCTCTGGTTCGCCAGAAGCAGCTTAGTCATGCTGGCCACATGACCCGGAAGCTGTACACCGGCTCCCTCAGCCAATAAAGAGAGATGAGCGCCGCAACCCCAGAGTCGTCCATGACTGGACCTAATGGTCAGGGGTCCCTTTACCTTTAATGCAGCAAAAACATGTCTTTGTCAGAAATGTCTTGCACCCACAGACACTTGCTAGCATTATGGCACACAAGGTGTGGCGCTGAAACATACAATCTGGTCATGCCCTATAGTGGCACTGTTTTAGATGGAAGCCATTCTCCGTATTAGTTTGGTCCTGGGAAAATACCTAAATTTATTGGATGCTCAAGTTATATTCCAACTCTGTGGGCCTTGGCATTGGGGCAACTTAAGTGGACTATTGCACACCCTGTTGGTGGCCAAGAGGCTTCTGGGAGGAACCTATGTCTGCACTGATTGCTCAGCGGTCGGAAGACTTACCTACCATTGCAGCATATGAAAGAGCTGTCTTTGGCGGGTGGCACAAAGAGAATAAACACTCAGGAATTTGGGATCCGTACTTCAAATTGTTTGCATGAATTACATGCCCAGTGGGCATTTTCCTGCCCCACTTTCTCTCCCCCCCCCCCAAGCTTCAGTGGTGCAATTAGTTAATTTTGCACCCTGGACTTAATGGTCTTCGGGAGATATGGGGTTAGGCAGACATGGCTGTTACTTTGGTTATCAATTGCACAGTTTCTTGTCTTCCCACTCATTTGTGGGGAGGGGGCTGGGCTGTGGGACCTAAGCTTTGGCCAAGAGATCCAGCCATATGTGCAACCTCGAACGGCTTCGCCCTGCTGCTTGATCATCCTGGCTCTCATCACATGGAAGCAGAAACTGGGCGCATCAAGAGGCATGGTTCCAGAGCACGATTTGGGGTGGGTGGGGAATGATTATTCTTCAGAATTACCGGGAGGGTCCAACCAGCTCGCTGGTTCAACACTATGAGGCTGTGTTACTCACCACCTCCAAAGAGTTGAAAGGGGGATGACTCTGGAGCGGCACTCGTCTTGTTTTTGCCTCTAGTAAACAACTTCCATCATTATGTTTGGGGCCGATGCTTTGCTTAAACCACTTTCAGCTCTCACAGAACCACAATTCCTCTGTCATCTGTTGTCTAAAACCATTAAAATGGGGACAGTATGCTGGGTAGACGTGCTAAAGACAGTCATCCCTTTGCATTAAAGAGAGACTGCTCATGGTAATGTTATGAACACAGCTCATTTATTATAAGGCACACCCCCAACTCTTCTTGAAGTAGCCACCCTTTTTTCCTTTCCTCTTTTTTCCAATAGTCTTCCACCTTCCTCCTCCTTCCTTGGAGGTTTTTAAGCAGAGGTTGGGTGGCCTTCTGTCATGGGTGCTTTAGCCGCATTGCAGGGGGTTGGTTGGACTAGATGACCCTTGGGGTCCCTTCCAACTATGCAATTCTATGATTCTACTGAGGGCTCATCCACACTTAGCTTCTGCCCTGTGATTTCCAGGCACAGGCCCATGCTTTAAAGCTCCACGTCCAAGCACTTTTCTTTTTACCTGTCACTTTCCACTCTTTAATGCTGAATTGGAACAAACGGCAATTCACAGTTTCCACAGATTGCCATTTGCTCCAATTCAGTGGTAAAGAGTGGGTTTTTCTGGGGAAAGCTTCAGGGTGGGGGGGGGAATTGCCCGGACCCAGAGCTTTAAAGCACAGACCCGTTCCCGGAAGCGCAGCACAAAATGAAGTCTGGGTGAGCCCTGAAACTGAAATGGTGAAAAGAGAGCAGGAGAGAATGTGTTCTAGCCCCTCCTCCCCAGCACAACCTGCCTCCTTCCCGCCCCCCTGATCTGACAAACTGTCTTCCAATCCTTCTCCCCCTCCTCCCCCAGGTGCAGCGGCCCCTTTAAGACAGCTCCATCCGGCTGCCAAGCACACAAGGATCCAATTAGGTCCTGCTTGCAAGACCTGGAAGCTCGGCAGCTGGGTGGGGTCCCCCTGGAAGCCTGCCTTTCTCGATCAGCTTCTTCCGCTCAGATAGTATGATGGCATTGGGGGGGGTCCACTTGGATTGGGACTTCATGGCTGGCTGGCTGGCAGGCGGGTGCTGCTGGTTCATAACCAGGTCCATCACTCGGTGCCAAGATGCAGCTGAATCTGGCATTGTGCATTTGAAAAAGAAGCCTTCAGCCCTCCCTAACCTGCAAAGGCTGGGGGAGGAAATTCTATTTCCTGGATGCCAATCTGGAGTGAGGTGACGGAGATATAAGAACCTCCGCTTAGCATTTTTAATGAAAATGCAATCTGCGGACAGTTTGCCTGCTCATAACCAGGCGTATGCCGCCAAGATAGCCTATCCAGGTCACAACTGAAAGCCAGAGAGCATGGAAGAGGCAAAGAAGGGCAGAGCAAGGGAGATTCTTCATTGCTCCTCTTCTAATCTCTATGGATTAAGGGCAAACTGAGAGTCAGGACCAGGAGCCTGTTCTGTTCATCAGCAAATAACATTCAGGACAATGGAGGTCACCCGGGACAATTGTCAAGGCAGCCACAAGCGCCCTCTAGACCTTCCCATCTTGACCTGGGACAGGGGCCTCAAGGTGGGTGCTTAGAGAGGAATCTGCCCTGCTGCCCAGCTTTGGTGAAGACCAGTTGCTTCTGGGGGACATTAGATGAAGCCACTGTCTGCTCCCTTTTCCTTCTTTTACTCCCTCTTCCTTTGCACTCAGCCATGGGGACCAGAAACAGGGTGCGCTGTGAATTCCAAGCCATTGCCTCTCCCCGGAAACGAAACAACGGGAAAGTGCAAAAAGTCTATAAAGATTTTCTGTCCAGCCCACCTGTTCATCTTATGCCATTCAGGAAGAGAGTGCAGTTGAAAGTCAGAGCAGTGCACAGTGAACATGAGGATGGACAGGTGGTGTTTGCTCCTTGGGCCAAGCTAAATGCGGTGCCATCCACACGATTGGTGCATTTTTAAAAGAAAAAAGCTGGTATGGAGCCCTCTGCACTGGCTGGGATTGCAAAGGCTTAAAGCTTCCCTGCCTGCTTGACCCTCCCGCCGGGGTCCCAATCCGGAAGAACCCCACACCTGTTGCTGACATATAAAAAAGCATCCGCACCAATCACATGAACATTGTCACATCTCACGTGGCCCTTGTTTTTGCTGTGCTCCCAGCAGCCGCTTGGTCTGAAGACAGTCCCAATGTAGAGGGTTGACCCAACTGGAGGAGTTCCCTGCCTTGAGTCACCAAGGGCTGCAAGGGTGTTCAGCAACTTGCCTGCACAGGAAGCAATGAGAAAAAGTCAACTCCATTCGGTAATGGTGAAGGTAAAGGACCCCTGGACAGTTACGTCCAGTTAAAGGCAACTGTGGGGTTGAGGCGCTCATCTCACTTTCAGGCCGAGGGAACCAGTGTTTGTCCACAGACAGCTTTCTGGGTCACATGGCCAACATGACTAAACCACTTCTGGCGCAATGGGACACCGTGACGAAAACCAGAGCGCACAGAAATGCCGTTTACCTTCCTGCCAAAGTGGTTCCTATTTATCTACTTGCACTGGTGTGCCTTCAAACTGCTGGGACAGAGCAATGGGAGGTCACCCCGTCGCAAGGATTTGAACCCCCGACCTTCTGAGAAGCACATGGGCCATCTCAGCAGGAGGCCTTTGAAGAGACCTGAATAAGGGGGTGGGGAAGCTTCTATTGGAAATTGTGTCTTAGTTGATAAATCACAACATCTAAGTTATTAAAGTTTGCAGCATTAACTGAAGGGGAGAAGAATTCCATCCTTTGCCACTAAGGACTACAAGTATGAGGAGGAGGTGAAAGAATGCTAAGAGGTACCCGTGTTGCAGCCAATGATCCTAACGGACTGCCTCTGGAGAACACACCGTGCCTTTTCTTAAGGGCTCTCTCTACTGTCCTAGTGTGCAGTCGTGCTTGTAAAGAGCAAGTGGGCATTTGGTTACATGCTCACAGCACATGCAAGACAAGGGGAGGCCTTTGTATTAGGGAAGGATGCCCACATGCATCTCTTGGGGCGGGAGGGGAAAGTCAATGGCCTGAACCATTTTGCTGGGAGTGTTAGTGGAAAGGAGCAAGTTTCTAGCTTCAGGGCAAGAGGAGTGGAAGTGCAAGAGAAAAAGCCCATTTGAGCTTGGCTGGCCACTCCCCAAACCTTTCCTGCAGTGTGGGAGATGGGCGGGAGAGAGGAGGAGGAGGAGGAGGAAGGACTAGTTTTTAATAAGAGTCTCCAGCTGGCATGAAAGGGCCAATTGTGTGATCTTGCCGAACTCCCAAGACCTCCTTATACAATGAGCCCCTTCAGCCCACAGAGCTGAAAGCTGCCACCTTTTGCCCTGCAGGCAATGCTTGCTTGCTTCTGGAGCTCTGCAAAAGCATTAGGCCCCTTCTGCACAGCTCTTCAGAGGAACAGGTGCTGCCCCCTAGGGAAGAGGGGTGCAACTTTGGCAAGGCCAGGGCATGAAGCTGGTGTGGAAAAACACACAGAAGCAGGGGTGGGTGGGGAGACTGACGTTCATCACAACAGACAAGAGTCCAATGCTGAACAGAACCAGGGTGGAAGAAACACACCATGTAGGTTTTTTGCCTCTGCAATAATAATAAAAAGGCAATCTTGAATTTGTTATCTCCACCTTCTTTGCTCTGGGACATGATCATTGGCTATCACTCCAAGAGAGAAGGCACCTGTTCTTGTGAAGTCAATAGGCCACTCAGGAGCTGAGGAATGCTGGGCTGCAGAAGAATTCTGACTCAAGACTCAACCAGCTGAGTCGGGAAGAGATGATAATTCCCAGTGCGTAGACATCTCTTGCCAAACCTGCTTTCCCTAGATCTTCCTCCCTGCTAACCTATCAAATTAAGATTGCAAGAAAGTTCCCAAGTGGAGAACCATCAGGCAAAAGGAACCTATTGTATTTTTGTGTTGGCCTGCTCTCATTTAACCCGATAACATAATCAGCACTTTCTTGGTGCTGAATTTGCAGTTCATTGGCACAGGACTTCCTATGCCTTGGTGCAAAATCATTTTCAAAGAGCATATGGGCCATGGCTTCTCTCAAATATAAACATTACACTGCATGCCATCTTCTTCCCTTGAGTTTCAAGCCCAAGTGCAATCTTTCACTTCAGTATCAGTAAAAGCGTGGTCTATGCATTCTAAGGTTCACAATTAAAGTGAGTTGGCTTGAGATGTGCTCAGCTATCATCTGCATCACCTTTTGAGGGTGCCCAGTTCCGCCAGTGTTGACAGCAAAAGTAGTCCCCACTGAAAGAAGCTGCCCCCTCAGGTTTAAGTTTCTGGGTAATATTTATTTGGTGGACCATACAGAACAGGACCATACAGAACCAAAGCAGAGACATCACCTTACCAACAAATGTCCGTATAGTTAAAGCCATGGTTTTCCCAGTAGTGATGTATGGAAGTGAGAGCTGGACCATAAAGAAGGCTGATCGCCGAAGAATGGATGCTTTTGAATTATGGTGCTGGAGGAGACTCTTGAGAGTTCAGTGGACTGCAAGAAGATCAAACGCATCCATTCTTAAGGAAATCAGCCCTGAGTGTTCACTGGAAGGACAGATCGTGAAGCTGAGGCTGCAATACTTTGGCCCCCTCATGAGAAGAGAAGACTCCCTGGAAAAGACCCTGATGTTGGGAAAGATGGAGGGCACAAGGAGAAGGGGACAACAGAGGACGAGATGGTTGGACAGTGTTCTCGAAGCTACGAACATGAGTTTGACCAAACTGCGGGAGGCAGTGGAAGACAGGAGTGCCTGGCGTGCTCTGGTCCATGGGGTCACGAAGAGTCGGACACAACTAAACGACTAAACAACAACAACAGAACTGATCCCATTTCACCTTGAGCAAGCCTGTTTCTCCGCTGGACAATCCTGAGCGATACCAGAGAACTTGCTGGGGGGAAGCCAGCCCCACCCAGAGGAGTAATGGCCAACTAAAAATGGGTGGACTTTAAAACCAAGAGGAATGTGAGCTTTTTACAGGACCGTCTTGCTCCCTCCCCCTTAGGATGAAATTCTAAGTTGGTGCTCATAACATTTCCCACCCAATAGCCCTGCCCTCTGCATCCCCATATGTAGGGCTGGGATTCTAACTCAAGCAGCAGAGAGGCCCCACATCAAATTGTGGCTCCTTGCAGGCCCTCATTTGGCATTAATCAAGAGACAAGCCAAACAAACATATGCCAAAAAATATACAGGAGATTTTCTGGAGTCTGCTGCAGTCTATTTAATTGGGCTGAGAGACAATATGGGTTTGTGCATCTGTCTTTTGCTTTCAGACAAATTAATGAACTAAAAGTTAGTTTTCTAAATATTTTGCTTGCTCTCTCTTTCTGTTGTTTTCTACAAACCTAACTCAAATGTTGAGTACTTGGGCTGTGTTCACACCCCCGTTTCCTGTCCAGTTATTTCTTTTCCAGTGCAGGGTTTTAATCCATGTTCACATGGCACTATCCAAAATGCACACATATCCTGTTGTTGGCATCTGTCTGTCTCAAGAGACAATGGATTGTGCCTCAAAATACTGCTATTTGATGTGTTGTTTCTTAAACTGACTGGAGTTCTTAAGCTGTTCCTAATACAGCTCTACGTAAGGGGCGAACGCTATTGCACAGGGTAATGACATCCTGGCTGGCCGATGCTCCCTGGGGTGAACCCAAACAGAAACTAATCTGACACTAACGAAGCTGTGCTGATGTGAACAGCTAGAGAGGAAAGAGCTGTGAAATGCCCGAGGCCCCAAGAGCAACTTCGCTAAGGTGGTAATGTGAACAGACCCTAAGAAACCAAGATAACAAGGTAGGCTGGACCCACCATTTAAAATAAGTAGATAGGCTGGTCTTATTGCATCCTCTCTTCCAGAATTCCAACCCCGCCCATACGAATATTCATCCAGTAAGTCAAGCAATAGAGCTATGAGTTAAAGCACTGCACTCCTCTGCCCCAGCACAAAATTTCTTCTTTGTGTCTTTGGCTAATTTGAGTTGGGACAAAATCTGTGTTGTTACTGGCTGCATTCTGCAAAGATCTGAGAAAGGACAGCTTCTGGGCCAAAGCGGTGTTAGAAATTTAGATATATGAGCTAGGCGCCAAATGGCTCCTTAAACCAGGGCTACATTTGCCAAAATGGGATGCCTAGTTGCCATTTTGGGGCCAGATACGACTTTTGGGTTCCTGAAATCCATTCTGATTGTGCAGATAAAATATAGCAGATAGAATGCTACAGGATACGTTGCTAGTGTGTAAAAACAGTCAAGATCCAAGGATCCCCAGGCATGCACCTCCGGATGGTGGAGATGCCAAGTGCCACCCTGGTGCCCGGGCATATTAACTTGGTCGCAAGTGGCCAATAGCCAGGTTCAAAATGTACCTGGTGCCTGGCAAATTTCAAATGCTGGGACAGAGTGACATTTTGAGAGCCCTTCTCCTCTCGCTGAAGAATTTGGTGTGGCTAATTCTCATGCCCTGAGAATCAGAGAGACAGCATCATTTTGTCAGACAAGACACAGGACGCACACACAACACACACACACTGAAAAACCAAAAGCCTCCTCCTCTTCATTTTACAGTCGTATGTGGGTGCAAAAGGGCTTTCTACAGCCACTGCCTGTCACCACCAATAAGCCAGGCTCAATTAGACATTCAAGCCATCCACCGAAGACCATTAATTAGTTAATTCTTAATCACTCTCTAATCGGCTCATTCCCCCCCCCCCCCCCGCTCCCCCAGCTGTGATCCTGCTCCTCACACAGTAGGGGATATCTGCAGGTCACAAGAACAGGGTGAGGCCAGGACACAAACTACTGCTCCAGACATACCTGCTTTCTCACGAAAGCCCCCACTGCCACCACCTTTATCACCATGTCCCCAGGAGGACACAACACAGCATGAGGCTACGTCAGCTACCATGTATTGGCAAACATGGCCAGTGACCCCAGGATGATGGGCGTTCAAGTCCAACAACAGCTGGAAGGAGACAGGTGGATCCAGCCTTGAAAGTGCAGCATGACCAGTTCCTTCTCCAAAATGCTACTAGGCAGGTATTATCCAAGCCAGAGGCAGCTGTATTCCTGAACCACACTAAGATGCACATCATTGGGCCAAAAGGATATTGCAGGTGTGTGTCCAGACACTAGGGGGCTGCCTCAAAACTCTCTGTACCACTAATATCTAACAGGCTAACACCATAGGAGGAGGAGGGAAGCTTTGCGGGTCACCTGGTCCAACTCCTGTCCAAATATGTAGAGAATTCAGAGCTAGAGCATCAGCCTCTACTTGAAGACTTCCCAGCGATGGCACTGTGATTATCTGGCCAGGAACAGTCACTGATGCTGTTGACCAACTGGAGGCTGTCAGTTTACTGCACATTGTGCATCCTACCTGCACTGCTCCCATCTTTAAGCAAGGCACTTCCGTACGCCAATCGTCCACCCCCACAGCTGCCCAGAGGGCAGCCAGCCAGCCATGCTTATTCCCTTCTCAGAAGCTGGGAGGGAGGAAAGGTGCTCTTAAGCCACAGAGCAAGTCTATGGCTGAGTCAGGAGTGGAAAGTAGTTAATGAGAATCACACCAGGCATCACAAAGATATCTGCGCCAACGCAGCCCAAAAGCATGCTTCAAAGGACACACACACATTCAATTGCTTCACCTTTTTTCTAGAGATCAGAACCTTCAATTCCAGGCATTCTGCAAACTGGGAGTCCTGCTCCAGAATCCCAGTTGTGTCAGTGAAAAATGTCCCTTCCTGTCCACTCTTTTTGCATCACACACTAAGTCCTGGGACTGAGAAAAGAGACTTATCCGCCCTGCCACAAATACCAAGCAAGGTGCTGGCAGGTCTTACTGCTCCCGAGGGTGGGGTGGGGGGCTCTAGGACACTCACAAATCCAGACTTGCTATTCTCATACTTCTTGCCCATTGATTCCTGAAAATCTACAGCAGCAGCAGCGTTAGAGCCAAGGTGGGGAACTGCATCCGGCTGACACATTGGATCGAGAACTGGCCCATCCTCCATGGGCCACTTTGACAGGCAGCCTAACATGATCCAACTTTAAAGGAAGTTCTGAGAGCACACTCTGAATTCCTCTCTTCCTCCTTTGCAGCCCCAGCTTGCATTCTGCATCAAATGCTAGCCCTCTGACTGTGATCGCCTGGCGGAGCATTCTCAATGAGGGGGCTTGTGTTTGGTGCCAAATGTGAAAAGTGTCAAATAAATGCAAGGCCTGTCCACTTGCAGAAGAACTCCTGAGAGTGTACTCCTGCCCCACCTGACTGTCATATGATGCCAGGTGGGTGTAGCGGGGCGGATGACAGTGCAAGCCAAATTGGGACCACTGGCAGACTTAATTTGGCCCACATGCCAGAAGGTTATATGCATCTCTCTCCCTCTCTTTCTCATTTGTTCTTGGGATAATAAGGCAATACTCACGACCAACAACTATTACCTCTTTCTCCTTCCTATGAACACAATACAAGCCTACAGTGTCCGGAGACAAGCAAAGGGACAGAAACAATGAATAGAAACAGAAATACTCTTCCAAATCCAACTCGTCGTGGTAACTCTTAACTCTTAATTTGGGAGCATGTGCAAGGTTCACAGTGGCAAGAAACATCAACATCAACGAGGAGGCATTTTAGCACTTGAACAAACAATTTGCAAGAGACTTGCAAAGGACAAGCTTCCATGGTTTGATAACAGCAAGCGAGAGCAATAAACTACAGCCCTTGCAAAGCATCTGGGTGTTCTGTAAGGGTGACGCATCTGCACGCTCCCACCCTCTGGTTCTCCCGCTCCCCCTGAAGCTTGGCCCAGCCCCATATCCTATGTCAGTCTGTCTTCTTTGCCTCCTGCCTTGCTTTCCCTGCCTGCGGAGCAGAGCAGAGGCACATTCTGAACCAATAATATTTCACTGCAACACTACAGTCAAGAAGAGACCCCTCTTTGCATAAGAGGAATGTAGTGTTTTGGGGGGCTATTCTACAACAAGGCCTGTGTGAGGCATTTCCCTTACACCCCCTAAAAATTAGTTTCAGCCAGCACTAAGCTTCTCTCCAAGTGAACACTTGATTGTATCCTGGGGAGACTTGCTTTACATGTCTGTTAGCTTTACACCATGAAACTCCACTGGGGAGCATTTTCAGGTCTGCATTACTCTAAACAGCTTCCTTCTGCAACAGGGCCTCCAAAGCTACCCAGAGGATAAGGTTGCGATAGAACAATGGCAGTGCATGCTGAAGCAGCTTCTGCCACATTGGGTTCACAGAACTGTGCAAAAGTAGGTGGGAGAGGGTTCTGTAGCAGGATCTCGACCCAGGAGCCAGCTCCTAGCATTCCATCCCAACTCTCTCAATGTTCTGGCAACCACTAGTGTGACCAAGAAACAGCCCAAGGAGGGGCTGGGCCAGGAGACTCAAGGCTGCCCACAGACATTTTACGTTGTCTCGATCTGGAATATTGCAAACAGCTGAAAGATGACCAAACGCCGCTCTCTGTTCACTAGGACAGCAGGAAAGTTTAGCAACACCCCCCCCCGAAAAAAAAAGTTTCCCGAAATGCACCCCTTTATTTTTGCTTTTGTTGGTGAGCAACTACCACCCACTCCATTGGGTACAAAATAAGGACTACAACTGGAGACAACATTGCAGCAGGAGAAAAACCACTCTCTTACACAGACCCACAGACTCTGGGTTTCCTGGCCTCTACACTAACAGAAGCATTACGAGGGTGTTAGGCATCCTTCAGTGTTGCTTTAGACACACTGCATCCCTCACTCTGCCATAGGATCTCTGCAATACAGTGGTACCTCGGGTTACGTATGCTTCAGGTTACATACGCTTCAGGTTACAGACTCCACTAACCCACAAATAGTACCTCAAATCGTGCTCTGGCGGCGTGGCGGCAGCACGAGGCCCTATTAGCTACAGTGGTCCTCAGGTTAAGAACAATTTCAGGTTAAGAATGGACCTCTGGAACGAATTAAGCACTTAACCCAAGGTACCACTGTATACCAAAGTCCCCTCTGCAACCGAGATGAAAATTCTGGTCCCGGCTGCATCTTCCTGGACTCCAGTTCTCACCATTCCTGGCCACTAGCCATGCTGGCTGGGGGAATGATTATGGGAGCTGGGGTCCAGCAACACCTGGAGGGCCTCAGGTCTGTCGCACCTCAACCTACACAATCTCAGCCCATCAAGGCCACCAGCAGTTTGCTATTTCAGCGCAAGTCCAGAAACAGGGCTCACCTGGTGCGTCTTAGCTTGACTGAGTGCCCGCTCAAGTTGGAAAGGGTTCACACCCAGCCTGCAAGACTCTCTGTGGACAGATGGAGAGAGTGCTCAAAAATTGGAGAGGTCTTTTGATAAAGGTCCTGGTCCAAGCCTCCTGTTGCTCAGCAAGCCCAGGGGCCCCAAGGAGGCAGCCGGACTTGCTTGAAAGACGCTGAATGCCCTTCTCTCCCAAGGCTGCTGGAGGTGGGATATGGAGCTACCCAGCCTGCTCTGGTTTCCTGCAGGATGGCTATCCAGATGTTCTCAATTATGCTTCTCTCTCTGCACCAGCCCACCCCCGTCCGCCCCGCTGGCTATTTTCCGGGGAGCCCAACCGACACCCCCCTCCCATTCCTCCAGATCTTGGCCAGAGATTTGACCGCGGGCCTTTCCCCTCCTTTCTCCCTCCCTCCTCCGGGTGCCAAACCCCGCCACTCCCGTCTGTTTGTCCCTGCTGCCCCACCGATTCTTGCGGGCAGAGAGCGCGCGCCGATGCCAAGCTGCCATCCCCGGAGGTCCCCAAGCGAGGAGTTGGGTGGGGTGGGCGGCCGAGAGAGGCGGCGAGGCGCGGAAAAACAACTTGGAGAAGCCGAGTTCTGCCTGCCAGCCCAGCGAGGGCGGCTCTCGCTAATGGCCAACAGCTGGACGCCAACCACCCCCAACCCCCCCCCCCGAAAGGCGGGCGAGGCAGCGAGGGCGGGAGAGAGAGAGAGAGGCAGCTACACAGATGTCATTTGTTCCTTCGCTCCGGCTATTTCTTCCCTCGCACACATGGAACGCGCGCGGGGGGGAAGAGAAGCAGCGGTTTAAACCAAATTAAAACCGGGGGGAGGGGGGAGTTGGGGAGCGTCTTCTTCCCTCAGCGCGGGGAGGGGTGTCTTTCGCTTTGTCTGGGCTTTTGAGTCAATTGGCAACCCTCCCCCCTTTTTTAACGAAATAAAAGAAGCCAGCTGAGGAGACCGAGGGCGCAAACTTCGTCCCCTCAGGACTTACCCGGAGCGAGGCGCGCGCGGGGCGGAGGGCTGCCCGTCTCTCGCCTTCCCTGAGCCGCCTTGTTGGGGTCCCTTCCTAGAGTCCGAGGGGCGGGATGGGGGCAGAGAGAGAAAAGGGGAGAGAGAGAAAGGGGGGGGAAGGCCGTTGAGAAGGTGCCGAAGTTTGGTGAGGCGCCTGGGAAGGAGCGGCGCCCCCGGAGCGGGAAGGGGCGAGGGGTAGCGGGGTTAGCGGAGCATCCTCTCCCCGAGGTACCTTCTCCTCTCGCTCCGCGCTGGAGAAGCTGCCTCGCCCGCCGAGCGGGGTCCCCGGGGCTGCGCGAGGCTCCACCCCTCCCGTTGAGACCACGCCCCTCCCGCCGAAGCCCCGCCCCCGCCGTCGGAAGGGCAGCGGCGAGGAGGAGGAGGAGAAGCGGAGCTGCCCCGTGAGCGGAGCGGAGCGGACGGACGACGCCTGCTTGTGCCGCTGCGATCCGGCCAGAGAGAGGCCCATCCAAGCCCGGCGTAGTCTTCTGCCTGGTTGTTTGCGCGCTGGTGGGAACGCAGAGCCCCGTGAGACCATGGGGGGTCCCTCCAGCTCTGTGTTTCCCCAACTTGGGTGTCCCACCTGTTTTTGGACTACAGCTCCCATCATGCAAAGGTAGCAGGACCAGTGGTCAGGGATGATGGGAATTGTAGTGGAAAAAAACCCAGGTGGAGACCCACGTTTGGGAAACACTGTTCTAGCTCAGTATTGTCCGCACTGACTGTGTGTGATGGCCTGGGATTCGGACTCGGAGGCTGAACCTGAGGAATCCCAGCCTGCACAGGATTCCCCGCCTCCAGAACCAGCATGAGCCTGAAGGGTCCTCACCTGTGCTGGATCCTCAGGTGCAGGTACCAGCTGAGTCTGCTCTGGCTCCTGAGGTGATGGAGGACCCATTGCCTGCAGGTGCTCCACTCTCAGCCCTGGCAGGGGAAGCTGAGGTTGCCTCTGGGTCCGGTGACCCTCCAGCTTCTCCTGAGCTGCAGAGGCTCAGGGCAGAGAGGCGGAGGGAACTAAGTTCCCACAGGAGGAGTGCTTGCCTCCAGGCCAGGAGAAGCAAGTCACCTGTGGACTGGGGCCGCCCTATGCCTCGGGGCAGATAAGAGCCAGTCAGCCCCAGTCCCAAGTTGCGGGAGCAACATTGTTGGTAGCCTGTTCCTGCCTGCACCCTGTCCTGCTCTTCTGCCAGAGTTCCTGACCTCACCCGACTCCCTGCCTTGGACCCAGCTTCGGCTTTGACGGACTGCCTCCATACCGCACCCTCGACCTCGAACTGGACTCGGACCTTGCCACACGGATAACCCTCGGGACCAGCACACTGTCAGCCCATCGGGGGAATCCATCTGCCTCAGTATTGCCAGCACTGACTGCCAGCAGCTTTCCAGGATTTCTGGCAGAAGCCTCCCGACTCTGACCTGGAGGGACTGAACTTGGCACCTTCCGCTTGTGAGGCAGATACTTTGCCACTGAGCTGTGGCCTTTGCCCTCGCCCTGCTTGTCATTCCCAACAACTGACAGTGGAGGGATTGCCTGGCCAGGCTGGCAGCCACTGATCCTGGAGCCTCTGACCCAGACCGGACCCTTCTGCCGCCTGAGGCAAAATGGGGAGGTGCTGCCCTGCACAAGTGCCACCCATCCATTCCTTGCCACCTCTGCCCAAGCCTCCCTTGCTGGGGTCGCATGGCTGTGGCTTCTGGGTTCCAGCGAGATCTCGCAAGAGCCCTGTGAGTTCACACAGAGGCCTTGCATTCCTGGAACCCCAGTGAGAAAGGGATCTCAGGAAGGTCGTGGGAGGCCTCTGCAAGATTTTGCAGGGTTCTTGCTTTGGCAGCGGAGGCAAACCCATGAAGACACCTGTCTCAGTCTGCCTCGTGGAAGGGCCGACCTTGCTCTGTACACACTGTCAAGTAAAAACCCCACTTATTTTGGTTGAACTTCCTCTTAAATGCATATCAGCTGCAACCAATCTTGATTTTAGTGGATTTTTGTATTCCTCCTTATCAGTGCTGTTTTTCTAGAACTCGCTATGAATGCCTCCCTCATTCTCTTAGAATGCCAATGGCACCCACCTGAGAGGTGCTGGAACTGAGTTCCGGCTTGGGGGGGGGGGCGGAAAGTGCCCTGCTTGTAATATGGCATAAGCAGTCTGCCCCCTACTCACAACTCCACCCATTTAAGCTATGTGCCCTGGGCATCCTAACTGTCAGACTGTTGTGCTGGCATATCGATCATGGCGCTGTGGTGGCTCTCTCCGCAGAAGGGTGCAGAAAGAGCTGTGTTTTAACATGGAAGCTTCTCAAGCACCTTCTCTTCCCGTGTGAAAAGAAAATAGGAAGATCCATCTAAAAGATAAACCAAGGAGAGAATGTCACACAAAGCTTAAAAATGGCAGAGAAATAGGTTGTTGCTCAAGTCAGATCAGTTGAGAAGGAGAGCGCTAGCTTTCAGGGGAGATGCCTGTTCCCCACCCCCTGAAATGCTAAATTTAGTGCACAGCAAGCGTTGATAAAGTAGCCTCCAGGGAGAAAGTTCACACACACACACTTGTTTTACTTGATTGCTGAAACATCAAAGGACGACTTGCACATGTGTAAAAGCCTCCACAGCTCTAACACCACAAAAATAACTTTCATATCAGCTCAGCTGCAGGACCCTTCGGTGGAGTCAGTTCACAACTTGAACCGTACTCAGGAAATATACATGCACGACCAAAGTGGCAGCCTCTTGCAAAGGCAGTGTGGGGTGCTGGGTTGGGGAGGGAAATGTCTGCCTAGCAACAGCTTCTGTCACTTCCAGGCAGACTACAGGCTGCCATTGCCCACCATTTTCGGGAGGAGGCAAATGGACCAGAGGAGTAAGCTGGGAGGGCAGTTAAGTAGGTATACCAAAGTTTATGGCGCAATGGCAGCTCGGGCACATATGCACTATGCTCTAGCCTAGTTGCACACATGGGAGAGTTCCTTTGTCAGTGATTTGTTCCTAATAATTTGAACTGTCTTGACAAGAAGACAGCCATTCATTAGAGCTCAGGGACCCAAATAAAGCTTGTTGACCGATCTTGTCACTCAGAAACAAAGAACTGGGGATGCAGAAAGGCAGAGATGGGGAACGCGGGGGCCTCAATATGTTGCTTGGTCCCAGCTCACATCAGGCCTAAGGGACGTGGGTGGCGCTGTGGGTTAAACCACTGAACCTCTTGGGCTTGCCGATCAGAAGGTTGGCGGTTTGAATCCCCGCGACGGGGTGAGCTCCCGTTGCTCGGTCCCTGCTCCTGCCAACCTAGCAGTTTGAAAGCACGTCAAAGTGCAAGTAGATAAATAGGTACCGCTCTGGCGGGAAGGTAAACGGCGTTTCTGTGCGCTGCTTTGGTTCTCCAGAAGCGGCTTAGTCATGCTGGCCACATGACCCGGAAGCTGTACGCTGGCTCCCTTGGCCAATAAAGTGAGATGAGCGCTGCAACCCCAGAGTCGGTCACGACTGGACCTAATGGTCAGGGGTCCCTTTACCCTTTACCTTTACACATCAGGCCTAGCCAGCATGGCCAGTGGCCCATGGCCAAGAATGATGGCAGCTGCAAGTTCAGGAACTTCTAGAGGTACCATGGGTTCCTCACACCTGCAGAATCTGCTGTGAACTTGAGAATCGTGGGCACTCCGGCAAGATGCATTTAACAGGGAGAGGAACGACACAAGGCATGTATATGGGTGGGACCTTCCTCCTCAATTCATGCTGATGGTAAGGAACTTTCTGCCCAACCCTTAACTGAGCCAGGACAACTTCCTTCTTTCAGTCCTTAATGCATCTGACCATAATTGAAGTCTTGGCTTCAGGTCAACAAGCTTGTTGGTCTGGTCTCCTCACAGCTTCTCAAAAGCTGGGAGGTAGATCAGCTGGCAGAAGTCCCCTGAGTCACAAAATAGTCCCTGCAGGCCTTTTAATGGCCTGATCCTTCCTGTAAAGATTTCCAGTTCCATTACATCTGTGATATTCAGCGGTTGCCCCAAACACAGAGCTCTGCAGACATCGAAGAAGGGAGAGCGTGGGCAGTCTCGTGATTTGGATAACCATTCAGTTCCTCCCAGCCAGTCGCCAGCAGCTAGCATGCCTTTGTATCAGAGCAGTTCCTCTTGAGCTCACCCCAAGGGGATTGTGGTGGGACAGCTTCCCCCTCCTCTTATCGATACATTGGTAGTGGGTAGGAGAGAGTTGGGGCAGCAGGCAGGAAGTGGTCACCCCATGAGTGTCGCCCAAAGGGAGGGCACAGATTGAGCAGACAGCTGCTAGGAAGTGATTCATTCAATAACAGAGGAGGAGGGAGAATAACATGAGCAAATGAGATGCTCATGTTACATTGGGTGTCATTCTGGCACAGGTTTGGAGGGGATCCCAATTTTTGTAGTTCGTAGTTAATAAGCCTGTCGTTCCTTCAGGAAGAACAAGAACATTTACTGTAGAAATCACAGGGGGGCTAAAAAGTGACAAGTCTACCTTATAGCATCCATCTCATATTTCTAAACACACTTTCATGAAAGGCGTGAACATGCCCTCCTACATTTCTCCGATGAAAATAGGGACATCCCGTTCCATAATGATAATTTTACTATTTATACTCCATACATCTTACTGGGTTGCCCCAGCCACTCTGGGCAGCTTCCAACATATAGAAAAACACAATAAAACATTTTTAAAAAAACTCTTCCCTATATAGGATTGCCTTCAGACGGCTCAGGAGTCGGATAACTCCATAATGCCCTCCAACATTTCTCCAATGAAAATAGGGACATCCTAAGGGAAAGTGGGACGTTCCAGGATCAAATATGAAACTGGGACAGCTTCTCTAAATCAGGGACGCCCCTGGAAATAGGGACACTTGGAGGGTCTGAGAAGAAAGCTGGTTGAGCCTCTCCACCCTCATGAAGAATACTATGCAGTACATTTCCCCAGATTAAAATCTGAGTTTCCTGGAGTGATTTCTGCTATCACAGTGGCGGTTCCTGAAGTTCTGGGCTGAAATGGATAAAGCAGATTAATGTATCTGGGGACGTTCCCCATCACACACAATGCCTTCTAAGCAGTCATGTCCACTAGGCTACATGACCTAATCTTATGGGCCATGGATTCCAGGGAGATTTCCTGCCTTCCTTCCAAACCAGCGTGTTTAAGATTGCAGCCTAAAGATTGTTAGGGTAGGGTGTGGCTTCCCACTAATTCAAAACCAAGGTCCTGTTTTCTAAAAACATCCTCGACAAATATGGAAATCACTGCCAATGCTGTTTTCTCTTCCTTGGTGCTTTCTTTCGTTTTTCAGTCAGTGGTTAGGACGGTGGGAGGCATGATATTCCAGCTTTCAGGACAGACATCTCTTATGAAGTACACCAAAAAATCCAGCTTTTGCTACGGTAGCCTTCACCTGAAAAGGAAGCTCAATTTTGTCCTGGGGGAACGCAAGCACACTGCATTCCCAGCAAGTTGAGTTGCAACACCTCCTGCTAAATCCTTGGGTTGCTCTCGCCTGCACATCAGCCTCCACTATCATT